TTATGGGTAATTTTGAACGCTTTATCTAATGAGATCATAAAAAATCGTTTGAATTTTTGACTATGTTACGGGTACTTTGCGTGGTGCTTGGTATCCCTTACGAATCCTCCCTTAAGATATCCCTAAGATACAAAAAAGTAGAGTATCATGAACATTGTTACAAAAGAATTGCTCAATGTATCGAATGAAATTGTTTTCTGGCCTCCTGAATTTTTTTGAACAAACCTGAAAAATTTTAGGCGCTCACCTGAAAAACCTGGCAGGTATTTCGATTTTTTTACTCTCACCCCTGGGTAATGGCATTTTCAGACTTATTGTCCACGTCCTTCTTTTTCTTTTGATCTTCTTCTTGTCGTTGGCAAAGCATCTCGCGCGAAAGATCAAGTGCTCATTTGCCACTTGGAAGAGGAACATATAATGAACTGGTCAACTTCATACACAGGTTGTCTTTAAGCGGTATAAGATCGTCCGCGTCATGATTAAGAAACTCGTGTGGATTGTGACAGGCGGGAAAGATCGAATGACTTCTGAGATGAAGAAATTTGAGAAAATTCATAGTGTCGTTTTCTCCGACGATGTCGCACACCAGATCGTACCACCGGTTTCTCGATAATCAAAAACATCAATGGGCAACTTTCTCATATGAATATGAATGTTCGTGAAAAGCATTGAGAGAGGAAGGCAGATGTGAAGGAGTGGACTGTGCAAAGCTAAAAACGACGTTCGACGAGAGAGAGCTAAAAAAGTGATGCGGCACAGTTCACACTTTCATCCCATTCTATCGATAGGCGAACTATAGAAAGAATGCGAGGACAGAAAGACTCTCGATGTTGAAGTAAACGATAGAACATCATATAGAGGCGATGTAAGACGACAAAAGAATCGTGCAGGAGAGTCTTGTGCTTATCAAATACAAAGGCTCAAACAAACGCACACCGCTCTCCTGATTATTTATGTACTCTTTCCGCATTTAAAAAATTTCCGTGATTACTTTGATTGCCAAATGATTGTGGCATTGCAAAATGATTTTTTGATTGCAAACTGATTTCTTCAAAAAGGCAATCAAAGCAATCAGTTGTTTCCCCCTTGGATGGACCTATATATACTGGGCCCTCTCATCAGTTCTATATACATCAACGTTCTCGTAAGAAGATGGCTTCTGTCGTATTCGAATTCGAAAGCTTTGTTTACTCACGGATGAGTCTCACTCTACATTTCAATATTTTTATTTTTACTTTCTTTTTCTTTGTTCGACGCAAAAGGCAACATTCCATTTGGATTGATCACTTGAAAACAACTGCCCAACACTTGATTATATCTCTCTATATTTCATGAATGAACAACAAGGTCTCTTTTAAATTTTCTTTTCGTTAGTCGACATATGGCTCAATCGCCATGGATGCAAAATAAAAGATGACATTCTTGATCCAAAGCGCATTATTGCTATTTTCTTTCTACGCTTGACATTTTGTGTAGATATATATTTAAGGAAGAGATAGTAAAAAATGCCCGGCCTGTATATACTTACTACCCATATGTGTGAACAAGTCAAAACCGCATTCAGAATAACAAAAACAATTTTGCGGTAAAAATAAGTATATGATATTCATAGGAGAATGCTTTCAGGTGTCGAAAATCAATCAAGTTAAAATTTATTGAAAGAATTTAGTTGAAACTTTCTCAACAATAAGTTCCCATCTGAAAGAAGCTTGATCTATTTAAAATGTGAATTCTTTTTAAAGTTGCTAAAAATGTAGATTTTCTGATTATCAGTTTTAATTTCAACTCAATCAATCAACAGTGATACCTCATTGTGAGCGTATTCTTGTTCCAATTCATTGATTAAATCTACACAAGTGATTTTCAGAGGGAGCGCTTTTTGTCGAAAGATTGACGAAAGGAAACAAACCATCGATTTCACTGTTCCAATTCATCTGTAATTCACGATTATGAATTATCAATGGCTCCATCCATGAGTATCCAATCGCTTTTCTAGAAAAGTGTGTTCTCTTCGACTTTTTTTCCACTTAGTTAGGTGTGACGTGATCGGAAAGTATTATTAGTGAAAACAAAATTGTGAGCTCCAAAGCAAAAATGTTCACGGTTTAGGTCGTTCTACAGGAACATGTATACAGTAAGGATACAAGTCTATTAAGGAACTGCCAGTTTTAATCAAAAATTTCTATCTAGGATCATGTTCTGATTCTTACCAGATAGAAATTTTAGCTGATAACTTGAGAGCAGAAAATAGCCTTTTGAGCGCACCTGTCGTTTCTGCATAGATGTTCAGACAGAACGGCCTAGATCTTGAACACTTGCACAACTGAAGCCACTTTTTATCACGAATCGTACTTTTTGGCCACTTCTCACTTAACGTAATCCAAAAAAGTCGAAGAAAACAAACTTTTCTAGAAAGTCGTTGGATACCCATGGATGTGCTTCAATATGAGTTGTTGAATTCGATTAAATTTAATAATAGTAATAGTGCAGGAATGTTTGTGTAATTGGTGAAGATCGATTTTCTCATGAATTGGATGAATTGGATGATGTATTGAGAAATGAGTTTGATCGAAAAGAGATGATTACATCAGTGCACAAAGACAAGAACTCAACTCATTTTGACTTCTAAGGACAATTTGATTGCTCATAAATTATCGAAATTCTTCAAACCACATCGACACTCGGGTATTAATTTCGATTGAGAATTGCTCAAAAATCGATTTGAACACGTCTAATTATACTAGAAGAAAGACAATGAAAGTCCTTGGCGAACAAAATGCATTTAAGATGTTATGATTCATTGCAGCGTCAATGTGTTCATTTTATGAGACAACTTTTTGACTAGATTTATTATCTAAAAAGAGGTTGAAATGCAATTCTTCAGAAAGCATGACTTTCCAACACGCACGTTCGAACAAGACACTGATGTGGAAATTTTTTTATTGTAAATAAAGCGCTCTGGAACGATCTAGATTTAACCATTCTCAAAAAAAACATTGAATTTTCAACGAGAAGATTCTCATTTCTTACTGCCGTTGAAAATTGATTATAAGCATAAGTCTGTATTATTTGAAGTTAAATGGTCGTTGTTTACAAAGTTGAGAATTTGACTAAAAGATTCCTCTTCTTCCAAATTAGATTTCGATCAGGAAAATATTTAACACGAGCCGAAACAAGGAACGATGTTGATTTTTCGAAAAATTCAAATCAGCTTTTAACTTTGTTCTCTCTATACTCTCTCCTTTATCTCTTATTTTATCATTTTATCGTCTCCTTTAGCTCTATTTCAGTCACTACATTACGTGGCAGTTCCATTGATATTCATCCGAATGCCAAATGGCAACGAAATGGTCTCACTGTGGCCGGAGGAAATGGACAAGGCAATGGAATCAATCGACTCACTGACCCATTGGGTTTGTATGTTGATGATGATCAAACAATCTATATCGCTGATCAATCGAATCATCGTATTGTGGAATGGAAATCAGGTGCGACGACTGGCCAAGTGGTTGCCGGTGGAAATGGACAAGGAAGTGGGACTCATCAGTTGTCTCACCCATTTGATGTGATTGTCGACAAGGAGAGAGATAGTCTCATCATCTGCGATTATTCGAATAGAAGAGTGGTTCGATGGCCTCGTCGAAATGGGACAAGTGGAGAAACAATCATCTCCAACATCGATTGTGCGGGTTTGACAATGGACGAGAATGGATCTCTCTATGTCGTTGACTATAGAAAAGATGAAGTGAGACGATATCGAAGAGGAGAATCTCAAGGAACAGTGATTGGAGGTGGCAATGGAAGTGGAAATCGTCTCGATCAACTCTCTTCCCCACGATACGTATTCGTCGATCGAGATCATTCAGTGTATGTGTCTGATTATGGAAATGATCGTGTGATGAAATGGATGGAAGGTGCAAAACAAGACATGGTCGTGGCTGGTGTGTTATGTGGCTCCAGTCATTATAGTTGTAACGCTTTGATGTCAATCTGATATGATTTTAAATGTTTATTTAGAAACTGAACATGATATCCTTTGCACAAAAATAGCGTATATTTATATGAGAGTTCACACGAAAAGCGGAATATTCTAGAGTTGATGTACTAGACTGGGGAACTGGGGATACATGTAAGCGTTCACGGAAAATAAAGAATCCAAGAACTAACACTGGGGAAATTCCTGATAGACAAGAACTAACACTGGGGAAATTCGTCATAGGAAGACAGAGAACGAAAGAGATACATATAGTTGACAGTAAGAAATAATACTGGGGAAATTCCTGACAAAAAGAAAGAGAATGAATATATATATATATATATATGTATGATACCTATCATACAATTGTCTCTTATGGCACGTCTTTAATATGTGTCAAAGCAGATATGATACAATGTAGGATCTTATATAAGGATATCTGACTTGGTTGCTTATGTAAGAGGATCTCCTTACTTAACATGGTGGTCAAGGAGAAGGAAATGGTCTTACACAATTGTCAGATCCTCGAGCAGTCGTTGTCGATCCATTGGGCACTGTCTATGTGGCTGATCAATGGAATCATCGAATCATGCGTTGGCCCAAAGGAGCCACACAGGGAAGTGTCATTGTTGGTGGGAACGGTGGAGGAGGACAATTGAAACAAATCAATGTGCCCTTCGGTTTGTCATTCGATCGACACAGCAATCTGTATGTCGTCGATTGGGGAAATCATCGAGTACAAAAATTCAATATCGATTCAAATTCATAAGAGTTTGTGAGATTAGATTTGGGTAGATAGAATGCATTTTTATTCATGAGAGTGATCCACCGAATAAAGGAGCGTTTGGCGTATCAGTGTGTGTGTGTGCCGGTGTGAGTGTACGTCACTGCGTGTTTGTGTGCGTAAGTTGTTTGGCTGAGCAACCGTCGCCGCCGAGCCATAACAAAAGATACTCGGCTTCTGAAAAATTTTAAAATCTGTATCATTTTTCGAAGATTTTCTTGCTCTGTGAAAAGAAAACGAAAATATAAGCTTTTAATTGTTTCGTTTATGTTCCGAGATTGATTCAAATCATATGAAATCTTAGCTGAAAAACAGAGTCTTATTGGTTCAATGAAAAAATGTTTCGTTATAACATATTTTATCGGCATTTTTACTTTCGTGATTCGGGAGCAATTGATATAGTATCCCGAAGTAGCGTGGATGCGTCAAAGTTTGTTACAAACTTGTACTTATCATTTGTTCAGCCGAAAAGTACAAAAACCAATTCAAAAATTTGTGTATCTCAGTTCAAGCTCTACCAAAACTCGTTGTACGACTGTCATGATTAAAATTCATTAGAAATTTATTAAACTAATCAAAATCTTTTCTTTTCACATGCGTTGTCTTTTTTCGTGTTATTCTGTGCTCCATCATTATTTTCTATCTTTTTATTCATAAACTCTTGAAACTAAGAAAATTTTAGAAAGAGTCATAGAAAACTTCCAGTCATTGTTGTCAACGGCCAACGCATTACTCGATGAATCGATCCTTTTATCGGACTCCCATAAATATTTGATATGACCTCATCGGTATCCGACAAAACTCGTCACAATTTGTCAGAATTTCTCGGATTTTGGCATTCGGAATCTGATAATAAGGATTCGGGCGACTATTGAAAAGGATTTCACCTATTACAGTCGCCGTCGACAAAAATTGTATAACCTCCAATCAGTCGCCGATGAATATTTCGTAAAATAAAAACTTGTCACTCCCGTACTGCCGATCACCCCACCCACGCACACGGTCACTCAAGAAATCCAATAACCATAGCATTCAAGGTAATTGATGACTCTCGTGGATTGCCATAATGACAAGAAATACAAGAAACCAAATCATCAGAGACCATTCACTTATGTTAAGCCATTCTAGCAAATCAAGAAGTCAAAGAATTCCATGCGCTCCCAGCAATTAAGCAATGTCCAGGGATAACAGAAAACAAACATATCCAAGAAGTTCAAGCAATCCAGACTATTATTTTACCTCAAGGCTCTCCATGAAACGGAGGAATTACGAGGATTGCAAGGAACTCACATAATTCACGTCTGCCAACGTTTATCAGTAAACTACGAAATTCCAGAAATCCTACTATTCAGAGCACTTAAGGATCAGCAACGATTATCATGCAAGTAAGAAATCGAAGGAATCCAAGCACTTCCATCAAATTAGAATCGTCGAGGATTACGAGGAAACCCAAAAAAACCAAACCTTCCGAGGATTCACAACTGTTACGGACTTTCAAGGATTATCACGATGCTAAGCTAATCCCAAAATTGCAAGCTGCCAAGATATTTATGATTGTCAAGGATTATCAAGCAACTAGATTCTAAAAAAGGTATATTAGCGAACCTGTGCCCAGGGGAAACGGTACTGAACTTAAAAAAGGTTTCGCAGACTTAGTCGAATCATTATTAGATTCGGTCAGTTTCTAAGAAACATCAAAGGTTCTTCCCCTGCGCACATCTTCCATAATAAACCTATTTTTAGAGAGTAAGAAATCCAAGAATTTCGAGGCTTTTTAGCATTTTATTCCGGTCAATGATTATCAGTAAACTGAAGAACACTAGAATTCCTAGCATTCCCAGCACTTTACTAATGTCAATCATAATCATCGAAATCAGCATTCCTGCAATTCCACGAATTCTCTGCAAATGAGCCCTGCTAAGGATTATCAGAAAATTGAGAAATCCAATCATTTCAGGTATTCCCAGCAATTCTGGAGTGTCAAGGACTATCACGAAAAAGAGAACTGCATGAATTGCGAAGATTCTCAGCAATTTATCATTGTCAAGAGTTATCGGAAAACTATAACAGACAAGAATTCCAAGGATTTTCAGCCGTTAAGTAATGCTAACGATTATCAGAAAAGTAAGAAATTTGATAAATTCCAAGCATTGCCAGCTATGTATGACTGTCAAGGATTCTCAGGAAACTAAGATATCGCACAATTTCAAGCATTCCCAGCAGTTGAGGACTGCCAACGGTTATAAGGAAACTGAGAAAACGACGTAGTCCAAGGAGAAAACTACGAAATCCAAGAATTCCAAAGATTTCTGATTGTTCAGGATTGACAAGAACCTGCCCAGGTGGAAGAAGCACGGTGGTAAACAGCCGCTCTTCATAGTTATTCCCCGTTTCCCTGGCGCCGCATTACGGTCCTATCTCACCGAAGGAATATAGAAGAAATACTGCGAAGTGTAATCTCGATTACTTTGCAACTCAGAAAACAAGGAAAATAAATTTGTGTTGAATAGAGTGCCATACGTCAAAGTGGAATCAGAACGTAAGTTCTAGTGTTCCGAAGTGTCATCTTTCTTTTCGTGTACCAGAACTTCAGTTTAAACGTGCTTTTCCGGCACAAAAGACGATTATACTAAAATTTAACAAAAAAAGTGAAATTTTGTCTTCTTCGCCGTGACACTGGAAAAGAAGATAAAATATTGAGCGTCATCTGTACGGATGTAATAGAAGAATTATTTTTTACTTTAAAATACAACAAACTCGACCTCAAAATCTTTGATTTTCACCGAATTATAAAAGTTTTTATAACTGCGCCAAAACTGCAGTTGGAAAACGTTGATTTCGAGGAAAATCGATAAAAGAAAAAAAATTCTACCACAACCGATTATGATTACGAAGAGTTTTAAATATACCAACTTGATAGAGCTTTTTAAGGGCTACCGAATGATCATCTTATTGTTTTTAGCTTCGCAAAATATGAAGGACTAAAATTGAAAAAGTCGTTTTCTTGCGTTGCAAAATAAACGAGATTGAAGCTTCACAGTACTTCTTCTATATTCTTTTATCTTTGCGGTATATAGAAAACTGTTTAATATGTTTTTTGTAGAAAATTTCACGGCGCATCGTGTGAGAAAACAATAAAGCTTAGGACATAAAATTCAGCTGAGATATGAGCAAAATACTAAGTGACCGATTTATTCTGGAACACCCATTAGGAGGCTCATCTGAGGTTCAACTCTTATTAATAGTTATGCCATCTAAAGTCTCGTCGGACTAATATGCGTAACTGCCAACATTTTCTTATTTGCAAGCTCATTCACATCAGAAATTCATGATGTTCAACCGGGAGAGACTCCCGATTTTAAAAACTCATCGTAAGGTTTCCTGGAAAAAGTCTTGAAGAGTTTGATAAGATCCCGATAAACTATGTCTCAAATCTTGCCAGGATCTTGGCCAATTTTCTGTTACCCGTTCTCATCAGGATGTGTGAGTTTCTCAATCGATTCTTGGCTGAAGTATACTTGGAAATCCGTTAGGATCCTGGTGAAATCATATCTCGAATCCTGTCTAGATCCTGGACACTTTTGGAGTACAAGAATATATGGGCTTCATGAATCGATTCCTGGGGCGTATGAAGCGGGAAACTCTTCAGGATCTTAATAAAATCATGCCTCACATCTTGTCAGGCCCTGAATACTTCTCGGATATCCGTTTCTTCCAGGATTCAGACGTTCCTCAGGATAAAGGGCGATTCCTGACAAGATCTGTTGAGGATCCGGAGCCGAAGCACTTGCGATATCCTGTAAAGTTACTTCTAACGTTCAATTTTCAAATTTGTCTTTCGTGTAAAAAGACTCATCGTAATTGAATTCGTTTTCAATATAGCTCTAGAGCAGACTGAATTTATCCTAAAAAAACGTCTTGCAAATACGCGAAACTAAACAAGGGCTTTCTGTACTTCTTGCAGCATTCTTCGATTCATACCTGTCCAGATCGTAATTTAGATCAGCTAAAAATCGTGGTTGGATCTTGAAATTAGTATTCAGAACACGATCCTGTAGGAAAACTGCTAAAATCCTGGAAAGATCTTCCAATCCATTTCTCTTAGGCTCATAATCCAAATCGGGACTAAATCCTGAAAAGATCCTAAATTCTCATTCGTGAAAAGTGTTAAACAATATCCTGGAAAATCCTGAGCAGGATCCTGCTAAAGATAGAAAACTCTTTGAAACAGAAACGGCCAGGATTCTAAATAGGGTCCTGATCAAAACTTGAGAAGATCCTCCAAACCCAGGATTTTGGCTGATTCTTCAAGGATTTCTTCATAAGTGATCAGAACTTAGCCTCTGAAAATAATCTTGAAGTATACATCTTGCAAGGATCTTCAACAGGAACCTGCTATAATTTTGCCAGGAATCTTTAATATATTTTTGACCAGATCTTTATCTGGAACATCTTCCAACCCTGACCGGATCGTGGTATTAAAATCCCAGTACAATCTACAGCGAGAACCTGCTAAAATCGTGATCAAGATCGCGATCGAATCCTGGTAAGATCTCGAATTCTTGTTTTAGAAATAACTCCTTGGCAGGATTCAGAAAAATTCTGAAAAAGATCCTGACAAAACCAGAAAATTTCTTGAAAACAGAGACGGTTAGCATTTCAGACAGGATCCTAATTGAAACCTGACCAGATCCTGGCAACTGAGGATTCTAACTGGTCCTTCGAGGCTGTTTGCTGTTTCGGAATATTTTATTTATTTTGCATGAAAACTAACTTTTAATAATCGAAATCTCGAAATACGAGTGCGATTCTTCAACCTCGATTTCGAAAAAAATGATTTTCTCAGCAAGGGAAAGGAATTTCGAAAAAAGAAGCATATACTTTTGTAGAGGTCATATACTTTTGTAGATGAATCCAGCCGTGTGTGAATTGCGGGTCTACGACCCGCTCAAAAAAACCAGATAACTTTTTGAAAAACGGTTCGA